AAAGTTTAAAATTGTGTAGCAGTTAAAGTAAATTTATGAGGTGAGCACAATTTTGCTAGAAGAAAACTTTTTGTGATTTGTAAAATAAAAAATATAATGATTGTATAATTTAAGCAGTAAGCAACTACTTTGACATTCTCATATTATAACTATATAACAATTTAAAGACCATCTGTTTATTTATTCATGATTCAGGAAAGATTTTATGTATGGCAAGATATTGAGTCAAATAAGAGAATCTTAACAATTTTTATATTTAATAGTTTACTTTAAATAAAGAAAGTAGTTTTAAAGCAATTGTGTTGAAAGGCTGAGAACTTACACTTTAGACTTGAAACCTAGATATTATTAGTTTCTGCTATGGTCTATAATGTAATTTTTAATAATGCAATAAAAAATATGATTGTTTGGAAAAAACGCGAAGAAAAAACTTGTTAGAAGAAAAGCTGGTAAGAAAAAATCTTAATTTAATAAAAATGCCTTACAATAATCATTTTTGCAATATTTAAAATATTTCTTTGCATTATAAATGCTGATAAAGAGTTGAAAATATAATAGATAATTCTTTTATAACAAAACATTTGAGCATAAAGCTTTTTTTTCTCTTTTCGTGTTTTATTTCCAAAATGTCTATAGCAAAATTTAATACAGATGTATAAAAGTGTATTTAAAAAGGGCTTAAACGTACTATATAAAAATAGAAAAAAAAATTTAAAAACACAGAAACATTATATAAAAATAGACGAAAAGAACCTATAAAAAAACTCAAATTAAAAATAATTAATCCAAATTTATAAAATGCTTCTGACAAGAAAAAACCTGCATTTAATCTAAAAACAATTAAATGGCCGTTAACTTAATATACTATCTATGCATAGTCATCGTACTGAGGAAGGTGGGGAAGGTGACGGTGAAAAAGACAGAGAAAAATAAGGTTTGAATTCCAAGAGGAGATAAGAGTTTATCTCTCTGATAACAAAAATTTATCATCATTTTATTTTGGAGAGATATTTGTTCCACAAGAAAAATATATACACCTATTTTAATGATGGATAATAAAAAAGCAACTATTTTAGCATGCACATTCATTTTAGATTTGTATTTTATAATTTTATATTGATTTATAATAAATATTTGGGGGGAAGGGCATTGATAGCTATACAATATTTTTCAAAATATTTGAAATTGAGCTCTAAAAAAGTTCTTGATTCAATAATAATAAATAGTATTTTTCAATAATAAATAGTATTTTTTCAAATATGGTTTGTTTAAATGGCATTAAAATGAAACATATTATCATCTTTGTTAATATTTTTTATATCATGGATTAAACCCTTTTGTGAGTGTTGCTAGATTACATTATATATAATACTATATTACAAGATTTTATTTTCTATAAAAATTTTCGAAGTAAAAGAGAAAAATAAATAAATAAATATGTATCGAGAGTTGCCAACTTGTTCCGCTTAGTGAGAATTCTTTTTCCAGTTTTAGAAAAATTAAACGAATTTGAACTCTACATAAAAATAATTCAAACATTGAAAGAAAATTAAAATTTGAAAATTGAAATCGTTTTCAAAATTGAAAGAAAACTGATTTTTCTCACCTCTCTACATAAAAATAATTCAAACAAACATAAAATACCCCTTTGATATATTTTTCTCAGGATGAGGTTCTTAGAATTTTTTTTAATGTTAAACAAAATTATGAAATTTTTGTTTTCAATATTCTACCTCTTCATTTATGCAAAGCACAATAATCGGCATCCCACTTACATTTTATTCAATATAAATTCGGTAAAACAAAGGCTCAAAAATGTTCTTCTGCGATTTGTGATAAATAATAATTTAAGTAATTGTCATAATATTCATTCGAATATTACTTTTCTTAACTATTTTCTTAATTGTAAATATTTATGTAAGTAACTTCCGCAAGATTAAAATCCTTTTTAATTCTTTCTATTTTAACCCTTTGACGCAGAGTGTTTTCATTAAACAAGTATTTCCATGCAGTCTTTTGTAATAATTTAGGTCAAAATAAGTGAACATTTTTTAATAAGTAAGCATTTTAATAATTTATGGTTATAAAATACAGCATGAAACACGGGTGTCTTTTTCTGCGATAAAGATAAAATCTTCCTAACACGACTCACTTCCAAACAATAATTTTGCGAATTCGTACTAAATTGTAGTTATTTATGTCTAACAGATACTCTCATTTATCATTGAAATTTCTCTAATTTACAAAGCCATCAGTTATGGATAAAGTTTTGAATAGGAATGAAAAAAAAATTCAAACTACTCTTTTTTTCTGGGTTTTATATTTTAATACTAATATAGTTCCAATTATCTAACAGAATTTTTTTTGGAATTATTAGACTGGTTTTTTTTAAGTAATTAACTAATACCGAAATATGTTTTGGCCCGAAATTAGAGAGCCAAAAAAATATTTATAAGAGGGAAACCAGTGATCCTCTTTTATATTTTTTTCTGTGTCCCTCTTATATGTATTAGTTATGGATAAATTTTTGAATATGAAGGAAATTGAACTACTCTTTTTTTTTTTTTTAGTTTTATACTTTAATACGAATATAATTCTAATTATCTAACAGATTCTTTTAGTGATTATTAGACTGCTTTTAAATAATGCCAAAATATATATTTTTGCTTGCAATTAGAGAGCCAGAAAAATATATATAAGAGGGAAACCAGTGTCCCTATTATATATTTTTTTTCTGTGTCCCTTTTATAAATCAATTATTGATAAATGTTTGAATATGAAGGGAAAAAATTTTAAACTACTCTTTTTTTGAGTTTTATATTGCAGTACAAATATAATTCCAATTATCTAACAGATTTTTTTAGTAACTATTAGACAGTTTTTTTTTTATTTTTTAAATAATTATAAAATACCAAAATATATTTTTGCTTGCAATTGAGCGCTAGAAAGAAATATACAAATGGGAAAAAAGAAAAGAAAGAAATAGAAAGAAATATACAAAGTTTTCGTTTTTTCTATTTCGACTGCTCGATTTCACAGCCCTGTTCTGAAACAAAAATAATAAGAAAATAATAATAAAAAGTATTTATTGCTCGAATTAATTATACGAAGGAATTATATAAATTAAAACTTGGTGAGATTCTTAATTATTTATTCAGTTTTTATTCACGAGAGCGACTGACCACAAGGAGCAAAGGTCGGTGATGTTTGTGTGCCAAATGGCAACTATTTACTTCACAATTATTTTGAACCAATTTTTTTTTTAATGAATCTAACTATGGCCTGCGGTTACGTTAAGATCTGCAATTAAACACGATAAAATACATTTATCTTTCATTTCTGTCGAACAAAAATTAGATTATATGTAGTTCGTTCACCAGGAGTTGGCATTTGGCTCCGCCTTCATTACGTGGTATCCGACGATACTATTTCACTTTTTTTAGGAGAAGGATGTGAACAGTCCTGAACAAGCTATTGGCGATTGTATGACAAAAAAATTTCTTCGAAATCTTTATGTGCATTTTATTAGCATTAAATATTTCATAAATTTGATGACATTTGTTTCCTTTGAGTGAATAGTTTGTCCTTTTTGAGAAATTTTACTGGGAAAACAGCAGTTTTTAAATTAAAAATATATTTAATTAGCTAGAGTAACGAAAGATAGCAGATGATAGAGCGAAGTGACTGAAAAAGAATTCACTGTTTGCGTTTGGTGCGCATTAAGGGTTGTCTCAATTTCAAGGGCGGAGATGTTTCTCCTCTTACTCCTTACTAAACTTATGAAACGAATTATGAAATTCGTCTATCCAAATGTAATTCCGTGCAAAAAATAAATGTTAGCAAATATTTATAAATTTTTTTTATATTTAATAACAGTCGAAAAATTTTTGAATTGTAAGGCATATAATTTTTTTACGTCATTTCAAAGTTACAAAGCAATTTTGCTCGGCCATTTTCATGGCAATAATTTTACATGGCAAAATACAATAATTGAGCACAATCGGTTGGATAAGTGGCACTGAGACTGAACCTTAAATAAACATTGATGTAGGGCATACGGGGTAAATGTATACCGGGCAGTGGCACTTAACTAGACCTAGTATATATTCCGGACATTTACCAAAAGCGACTATAGGATTGTCAACATTCCCCGGCGAAAGTTAACCAACCATTTCAATCATTCATAATATCATGTAAATGGAACTAATTCTACGGAACATCTTTTAGGAAACGCATAATAGTTCCGTAGAACAACTTTAAAGAACCGCTGCTTTATAATTCTGTAGAACAGCATTTAGGAACTGCTGCTTTATAATTCCATAGAACATATTTTAGTGTTCATATGTGTGTGTGTTGTAGTGATTAAAGCAATTTAAACTCAAATCTTTTCAAGCCTAGAGTAATATATATAACATAAAGTTATGATGTAATCGCTTCATCTCTTGTTTTAGCTACAAATTGAAATTTAAAAAGTCGTGTTTAAAGATATTATCTTTTCTTTAGCTAACCATATTTTATTCAGGACAGACAAGTCACTTCAAAGAAATAGGTTGAGTAAGTAAATAAGAATTGATTGAGAGAGGAAAAGTTTTGCCTCTACGTTTCTATCCATAAGTAAGAATCCATCCATTCCTCCATCTTTCTTATGTTTGGAGGAAACATTAAAAGATTAAAATCAAATCTTATCGTTATCATCTTCTCATTAAAACCTTCGTTTTAATTCTTATCCACTCTAATGTCTCACTGATAGTGTCTTTAAATGCTGTTAGTCAAATGAAAGGGTTTCAAAATTTGAAAACCTTTCTTTTTTGAGCAAAATTTCCAGTTCTACACACAAGCCCAATCGCAAGCTTTCGTTATCGCATTACACAGGTTCTAATTCTCTTTATAAGAGAGATAAATAGACTATAAAAATTTTTATTTTTACTGACTCATAAATTGAAACTGAAAGCTGCTTCTATGAGAAAGAATTTTTAAGTCAGTCTGGCTTACTCTTTCAGAGAGAAGAGAAGTGTGCGACCTTGCGGTGATATCACCCTTTACGTCATGCCAAGCTGTGACATCATCACTCCTGACTCCTCCTCTTCCTTCTCTGCCATCGAAACTCCTCCTACTCGACGTAGACCCACTGTAGTGCCGGCAACAGCACTACTCACTGTATTCCGTGACAAAAATTCTAATTGCATCCCCCACATCAAAACAACAACCCCTGATTCGAAAAGACCCCTCATCAAGTGCATTGTCAAGGTTTTGAAACGTTCTAAGAGCGAAGAGGATAACAATAACGAAGGTTCCAAAAAGCCCAGGGAAGATTTTAAGGAAGTTAAACAAGTAAACAAAAAGTAAGTGTAATTTTTTTTCCCCTTTTGATAATCATTTTATAAGGATGATTTGAATATTCGGTCAATCTTTATAGCTTCAATGTAAAATGTTCTAAGAAAGATATTATTCATAGTACTATTATCATGTTTTGGGATAGTTTTATTTATTATTTTTTTTTTTAACCTTATTATGATGTTTGTTTATTTCTACATTTTCATTCCACTTTTTTTAGATGGTTATTCACTTTTTTGAAAGAAGTTAAAAAATTACTTTTTCAAAAAAAAAAAAAAAAAAAANAAAAAAAAAAAAAAAAAAAAAAAAAAAAAAAAAAAAAAGCCTGCATACTAACAACAGCTTCTCTAAACTTTTGAGGAAAAAACCCCCCTTTTTTCAAAATTTGCTTTCTTAAAAATATTTTTTTCCCTTTTCCATGTCGCAAGGGGGGTGGCGGTGTAGAATTATTTACATTCTTTTCTCCTACCAAGTGTTTCTTACTTCCATTTTTTAATGAACCCTCCAATGGGCCAATTTGTTTCTAAAGAGGATAAATTTAAATATTTTTGGAATTGCTATTGAAATAAGGAAAAAAAAAATATTTAGCTTAAATTTTAACACCTTTTTTTATTTATGAAATAAATTTTATAAATGCTACAAACTGCAAAAGTATTTATGTACTATAACTTCTGATATATTTTCTAAAACTAGCATGAATGGTTACCTATTCCTTTCAAATGTACTCAGGCCGGCCAATTTCTACGCATTTTGTAAAACAATTCATAAAGTGGTAGACATTTATAAACTGAAGCTTTCAGAATATTTTTAAATTTTGCTAACATTTTTATAAAGCTGGATCAAAGTAGCGTTGTATATGAACTTTTAAATCATTTATGTGTAGCGGTGTGGAAAGAAAGTTCAAATGAATAAAAAATGATACATTAAACCATAACTTAGGTACCACTGGAATAAGTTTTTACAAAAAGCGTAGAAAATTAGGCACCCCCTGTGTACTTCATCGCAATTGAAAATAATAACTAATGGAATACTAAATTTACCTAAAGTCATAAAGTAGTTTACTATGGGGTTTTTGAAAGTGATGGTAAATCTTCTAACCGCGGCTTGGTAAGTCTTCTAACCAAGGATTAAATCATGCCCTCCAACTACTATGGATTTTCTGTAGATTTATAAAATATTTTTCCTTGTGGTAATTAATATAGATGTAAGATTAATATAGATTATTAATATTTTAATAAATAAGAAATGACAATACTTTACCCGCGACTTATAAATCATTTTAAAAATGTATATAAATGATTAAAAAAAAACGAATAGTCATTGTAATAGAATTTATAATGACCTGAAAGTTAACAAAGTAGATAATTATGAATGAAGCCACTCAATGCTACTCAACCACTCAGTTTTGCCACTCAGAATGCCACTCAATTTTTTTTCATCATGTTAATTTACTAAAGTTATCTTCCCATCTCCCCTCTTCCGTTAATCCTATTAAATTTCGAAGAAGAAGCAGATAGTACCGATAGCAGGTTAGGTACCCAAAATTAAAATTTGCAATAATCATCACGAGTATTCGTCTATAGCTGTTAATAGTCACCATGACTATTAAGATGCCAATTTGAACCGCTTTGTGAAAAAAATATTTTCTTGTGGTAACGAGATTTAAGTCATTTTTAATTTTGTATTTACATATATAAGAAGAAAGTGGAACATGGTATGTATTTACACTTTAACTAAATGATACAGTTCTAACTTAAAGAGCATATATGGCGAGCATCCGTATTCAAACTTGCAACGGAAGTATCAAAGTTAAGCGGTACATCTGATAGATAAGAGATTTTAGGGTCCTTTCGCTTTTTTTTTAATAAGTAAAGGCACCATTTGAATTTTTGTATAATAAGGCGTGTTCTTTCGCGTACGGAATTTTCCGGTAGACCTAATATATAAATAGATTTTAGCGAATGTGTTTATGTCATCAAAATAAATTTAAAGAATGTAATACCAGATTTTATCGTTTTAAAAAACACATGAGTGAATGGGAGTTTCGACGGTAATAGCGTCCTGTTGGCTCCATTTTTCATAAGAAAAAAAGGGTAAGAGGTGTACAATATTAGTTTCATTTATTGTTATTGTTTCTGAGCCGCGATGGCTCAAAACATACAGCGTTTGCCCTCCAATGAGGTGAACCGGGCTCGAATCCCAGCCATAGCTGGCGATACGAATTCCGCACTCAGCTCGCACCGACCACCGTGCTGACGTAAAATATCCTCAGTGGTTGACGGATCATGATTTTCCTCTCCATGTCACACAAATGCGCTGTAGTTCCATCAAAAAGTCCCCCCACGAAGACAAATTTCTCCCACTACTCGATCCAGAAGTTTCCTTGTCTTCTGGAATGGGTTCAAAATGACTAGGATGCGGAGTTGAGCATGGGTATGAAAATTCGGTCGGCTGTTCAACGACGGTTATAAGATAAATTAAAATGTAAGAGTGATAAAACATTTAGCAGAATTGATAGTAACAAAATGACGAGAGAATAGTTCAGAGAAATTCTGTCGGTTGCAATTTAACAACTCGGCCTCCCCTAAAGAATTATTAGAATGCAAAAAGAAGAATAAGTTTAATCAAAACCAGGAAATTTACTGAAATGAGGGGGTAGTGAAGGACAATAAAATTTCCGAATCCTTTGGCTAGAAACATTCTGGCAAACGAATATATGATAAACGTCAGACATTAACGAGAATAATTTAGCAATTATGTTTATTTGAATAAAAATATGATTACTGCATATGATTAATAAAAAAGCATACATATCTTTTACGTGCGTTTATTTTATTATTTTTACCATGTTCGTAAATTTCAGTGGATAAATTCTATTCCTTTTTTTTTGGGGNTACTTTTTTTTTTTGGGGGGGGGGGGGATTTTCACGTGAAATTTTCAAATATTATCTTCAATTTGCTCTTTTTTTCCGCTACAAATTTGCAACCCTAATTATTAGTTATGTAAAATAATCAAATTATTTTGTCAACTGCTTGGAGTTCTCCACCATTTCCCTTCGTTTCACTTTAAAAAACCATTTCCTAATTCATGGAATTTCAATTTTAAGCTAGTGCTTAAATCATTAGCATTTACGTTTGAGGGCAGAGGAAATTGTTTTTATCTTTTTTATGGTAAGTAACCATGTCTTATGCAGTTTTCTCCCAAATCATCTTTTTTTTCTCCCTAATCATCTTTTTTTTCTTATTTTTTTTTTGAATAGAGGCCCACCCCCCTGTTTTCCTTTTGATCCCAATAAATGAGCCCTCTTTGCCCTTTTGTAAAATTAAGCCATCCTCCCTTAAAAACGCTTCCTTTTTATTCAGACTCCACTTAGAAAAAAATTTATTCATAGTTTTTAAATAATTACTCACTATTAAAATTTTCTAGGTTTATGGCTAAATTCTGATTACTATTATTATTTACTTTGTTAGGGTTATTCGCAACTGGTTAGATGTTTATAAGTATTTTTTTCCGGGGTGTGGATATTAATAATTTTTTTAAGTGATTTTAAATTTTAAAAATTATTTATTTTTTTAATAAATACCTTTTTTGAAAAAAATGAATCTTTAAATGTTGATTTTCTCATACTTTTCAGTTTATATTATAGAAAAAAGCTTTCAAGTTGTTTATCAATTAATCATTTTTTCCAAGCTATATTCTATGCTCAGAGATTGCCTTTTAACATGGAAACATTGGAAAAAAATGACTTGAAATTCCTTCATTCAAATTTATTGAATTTCATTAAAAACTAATTTTTGGCTTTCATACAATAAATTTTGATAATTATTATTAAGATTATATCTGTGTATCGATATCTCGAACTCCGATTTCGAGAAAATCTTGTTATGTCAAAAAACTATTTTTCCCCTTGGCAATATATATCCTAATTTGAATTCCTATGTCGAAGGGTTTCCTCTCAAAACCTTGCTACGTCAATTTAAAAAAAAAAAAAAGGAAAATAGAAAATGAATTTTTTCTGAAAAATCTTAATGTAAGTTCTTATGTAAAAATCTTACTTTCATTGTAAACCAATTATTTTCCATTGAATGCATAATTATTTTTGTCTTACTTTTAAAAATGAAATTATTATTGTTGTATTAAGACTTATAGNAAAAAAAAAAAAAAAAAAAAAAAAAAAAAAAAAAGCCTGCATACTAACAACAGCTTCTCTAAACTTTCGAGGAGAAAACCCCCCTTTTTTTCAAAATTTGCTTTCATAAAAAGATTTTTTTCCCTTTTCCACGTCGCAAGGGGGGTGGCAGTGTAGAATTATTTACATTCTTTTCTCCTACCAAGTGTTTCTTACTTCCATTTTTTAATGAACCCTCCAATGGGCCAATTTGTTTCTAAAGAGGATAAATTTAAATATATTTGGAATTGCTATTGAAATAAGGAAAAAAAAAAGATTTAGCTTAAATTTTAACACCTTTTTTTATTTATGAAATAAATTTTATAAATGCTACAAACTGCAAAAGGATTTATGTACTATAACTTCGTATATATTTTCTAAAACTAGCATAAATGGTTACCTATTCCTTTCAAATGTACTCAGGCCGACCAACTTCTACGCATTTTGTAAAACAATTTATAGAGTGGTAGACATTTACAAACTAAAGCTTTCAGAGTTTTTCTACATTTTGCTAAAATTTTTATAAAGCTGGATCAAAATAGCGTTGTATATGAACTTTTAAATCATTTATGTGTAGCGGTGCGGAAAATAAGTTCAAATTAATAAAAAAATAATACATTAAAACATAAACTTAGGTACCGCTAGAATAAGTTTTTACAAAAAGAGTAGAAAATTAGGCACCCCCTGTGTACTTCATCGCAATTGAAGATAATAACTAATGGAATACTAAATTTAAAGTTATAAAGTAGTTTACTACGGTGTTTTTGAAAGTGGTGGTAAGTCTTCTAACCACGGCTTGGTAAGTTCTTCTAACCAAGGATTAAACCGTAAACCAAGTG